ACAAATATAAAATTAAAAAAAAGAAAATATATATATATATATATATATATATATATATATATATATATATATATATATATATAATAAGAATGTGAGGAAAGAGTACGAAAAAATAAGAAATAAGAAAACAAGTACTAAGAACTTCAAATTCCTACTTTATAAATATAATTTAAAATTGTCTAATCATATATTATTTTAAAACAATTATTTTCTAATTATTTTCATCAAAACGCACGGGTAAGAAGTAAGAATATAAAAAGAGAGGATATTTTTATACGTTAAATTATTAGAATGAAAAGAAGGAAATACAAGAAAAACCTCAGAGGAACAATGGTACTTTACCAAACCCAAAACATCAAGAAAAATCAATTAAAAAATGAGGGGTCATACTGGATAGTCTTCGCAGTTGACTATCTCGTTCCCGTGTATTTGGTCTGATTTAATTTAAAATAATTTATTTAATTCCAAATATTTAACTAGAATCGAGAGTTGGAATGTTCTGTTAATAAAATAAAACCTGAGTCAGTTCAAAATTAATTTATTTTCTTTGTGGAATCAATTTTATATTTGGAACAATCCAACCCTAGATCCTTTGCCAAGAACTGCTAACAAACATCACCAAAAAATTTAAACTAAAACAAGCATGTTCTAATCTACCATATGTTCCTTTTTCATATCGTCGAATCTGTTTCAATAATCTCAATTCACAAGGTTTTCATAATAACAATCAGAGAAAGACCCTCTCGAATATCTACATCTGGTATCAGAAACTGAACATGAACTGTGCCTGTAACTACGAGAACCCATAACACCTTCTTCCGCGGTGCCGATTTCCATCTCCGTCAGTGCTTCACAGAACAATTCAACATGGCAAGGGAGACACAAGGGACCATCGTTTCTATACCCATATTCTCTCTCAGCACCATCCAGAAGCTCTTTGAACAAAGGGTGGTTCGCTATCTCGATCTTGATAACGAATCTCTCTCTCTCGGGTCCAACGTAGACACAAAGACAACCTTGTGGAGCCACACAAGCCTTCTTCCTATGTTGCCTTTCATTTCTCAATCTGCCATAGCTTCCACTTAAGCTGTTCTCCGGATACAATCTCTTGCTTCTTCCCAGTACTCTCTTCCACTTCTTCACAAACTCCATTTCTTACTCTTAAACTATTTCTATATACATACACAAGAAATGTGTTCAACTTTATGCAGAAATATATATAAGCGAGAGATGGAATACTGGGGTGGCAAGAGAATGATGATGAGCTTGTGTTTGTGGAAGTTAAGGTTGGTTTTCTTATATATAGAGAAGTTGGTTCATTCAATGGCTGTCGGTCTTAGTGTTTGTAATTCTTGTCAGTTTGCGCATGCTGTGGATTTTGATCCTTTTTTTTAGACTAAGTATAGCATGTTGTGGCGGAAAGGGAAAGATACCCTCTTGTTTGGACTAATTAATTGCAAGTGCTATGTAAAAATAATTAACATATAAGACCTATCTGCGTGGAAAGAGTCAAATGTTTGATAAGGAGTCTAGTTAAGTTTAGGATTTTGTATAACATGGGTTGGCTATCATTGTCTACCGTCAAAGGCTTTGAATTAGTATTTTATTAATATGGTATTTGGTGAAAGGAAATTAAGTTGTTAATAATTAACACTGCTTTATATTGGGAATACAATATATATTATAGCAGTGAATTGTTCTACTGGTGTGAAATCGCTCGTGGCAGTTTACAATGTAGAAAACTGGTAAGAGGAAAGTCAAGGCTGGTTGGTGGGTGAGAACTGGGAGAACAAGTTCTTACGCCGCAACCTAAGAATAATCAACCCAAAATAAAAAGTAAAAGCTTTCGGATTATAATATTTTTCATAATATTTTCTGTTAAGAAAGTTTATTTTTTGTAATATTTAGGGGATATAGTCACATTTTACATCATTTGATCAAAGAGTTATAGATCGTATCATCTTTCCACTAATTCTAACATGAGAATTTAAGAATGTAAGTACACAATAATATCATAACTTAAATTATTAACATTTACAAAATAAATTTTAACTATTAATCATAATATAATAATTTAATATACAATAATAATAATAATTTTAATTTATTCAATTACAAATTAAAAAATATTTATATTATACTTTTAATACATATATAATGACGAAAAATTTTAAAAATTTAAATTAAAAAAAGGGTTGGTGAACCAATCCATCGACCTATTCTGTAGTAAACGGATTAAAATTTTTAACTTGTTTTCTTATAACGGATTTATCCAATGCACCTTATTTTAATGGGCAAAAACGAAAAAACTTACCTATTTTATCACTTTTTCTTAGTATATAAAATAATTGATACAATATTTTAATTTTTATAGTAATATAATAATCTATAACTAAGTAACAATGACAATATGTTTTATTACATATATAAAATGAATTGAAATTTTGTTTAGGTAAAAAAAGCATATTTTTTTTCCTTTTAAAGTTTAAAATTAGTATACTTTATTTTTAGTTTCATATAATACTTTTTAGCATGTTGAAAAAAAAATTAAACTAATAATTCAAAACGTGACACTAGACATTTGTAATTTTAAAAAATAAAATAAAATAAAAGTCCTTTATCTACATTGAAATTAACAAAATAAATATAATTTAAAATATAAAATTAGTTAAAAATAAAATAGTATATTTTGCATATACACTAAAATTAAAACTTTTATGTTTCATATGATTACAAAATACTAACTTTAGATATTAGAAAAATAATTTAAAAAATTAAATTGAAAACTAGTTCATTTTACACGCAAATCTGTTTCTCTGTATTCTTATTTAATTTCTAAAAAATATTGGAAGAAAGTAAAGTGGTCCCGCAAGTTGTCGTTTCTGACATGTGGTAAACCTACAGTGATCTTATTCCTAACTTTCTTTTTGTTTTAGGCTTATTTAATTTTCAAGTTAAGAGCTAAATTTCTATTTTATATTCAATTTAAAAATTGAAGACATTAGATTATGAAATTATGAAAATTGTGTAAATTAAGTTTATCGTTTAACGATGTTAAACTTAAAAATGTTGACCTGAGTGTAGATGTGAGGTGTGCAAGAAATGTGGTCGTGACAATGACTTGTGGTAGGTTACTTGATGTGGTAAGGAAAAGGAAAAATAACGTGGTAGGGGAAAGTAAAAAAATCTCGTATCAAATTGGGGAAATTAAAATCTAGGATTTCTTTATCTTCAAATGAAAAGATTAGAGAAGTGAGGTCATAGATTGAGGATTTTTGACGTTCTCGAAGGATTGAAGGTGTGGAAGGGTTGACGGTGTGGAAGGACATTGTTGACCGAAAAGGGTTAGTGAAGGAGATTGTTTAGCGAAAAGGATTGACGTTGCAGTGATTGTTGTTCGAAGCGAAAAGGTCCAAGGTACTTTGGCAGTTGGTCAGGTATGCAAGTTTTTGAGATCATCCATACTTCCAATATTGCTGAAAAGTTTGTGGTTGATGTAGAGAAAAGAGATTGTAGCTGTAGGAAGTGAACTGTAACAGGAATACCTTATTGTCATGCACTGACTGCCATGAGGTTTTTAATCATCAATGCAGAAGACTACATCCCAATTTGGTTTAGAACCTCAACTTATGAAGAAACCTACATTCCATTAATTTTCCCTGTCAATGGACCTGAACTATGGGAAATGACTTCATATGTTGATGTTTTGCCTCCTCCGAAAAGGGTGTTGCCAGGTAGACCAAGAAAAAAAAGAAGACTGGAGAGTTGGGAGCAAATAAGGGATGATACACAACTTGGCCAAACTGGAATCCCAAAGAGATGTGACATTTGTAGACAACTAGGGCATAGAAGAACTAATTGCCCTCAAGCACAACACCAGCAAGCAACACCACACTCCATTCAACCAACTGAACAACAACACCGGGAAGCTACACCAGTACCCACTCAAGCAAGTCAGATTACTCAAGAAGAAGACCTCCAAGCTATACCACAATCCACTCAACCAAGTCAAGTTATTTAAGAACCCCTTATCGATCACTCTTCAACAACACTTTAAAAATTGTTCAACTTTGACTTGTATTTTGGATATGTAATTTCAACTTTAAGTAGTTTTGCTAAGACATATTTAGGTCATGTTTGACTTTCAATATTATTTTGGATGTGATGTATTTTGCACTATATAACTATATTTTGGATGTCATGCATTATGGATGATCTATGATGTAATTTCTTAAGTGATCTTTAATCATTAATATGATATCATTTTGGAACAATTCTGATGTTTTATCTTCTAAAACTATAACCTGCAATGTTTGCCATGTTGTTAAAATTGATGCTTTGGCACCTTCTTATGTGATGTTTAATGACTTTGTAGACCTTGTCAATATTGATGCTTTCAAAACAGTATTAATATTGATGGTTTGTATACCTTTATGTTGATGAAAAATAAAGGAAGTATATAATTTTATGTGATGTTCATTCACTGGTTGTCAATGACTGGGCAATGTAAATTACATAACATTCACTTGAACAATAACAGAAACAAAATCTCATTACACGAACAATGTCATTACAACCACAATCTTCATTAACTAACAAACATTACATTATAACCCCATCAAAAACCACTAGAACAAAATTAAAACAAAATACATACAAAGATGATGTTAATCAACCCCATCAAACATAAAAACCCCAACAACACCTTCTCCCTTCTCCCTTCTCTGACAAACCACAAGTGATTTTTCCAAACAAATTATCGTCCTGCTTTGCCATCCAATTGTACTATCGCTTTCATCTATGTAATCTTCAGTGCGCCATTTGAAGAAATTACATCCTCGCACTTCCTCGTTTCGACTCCGCTGTTCAAAACATCCAACCGAAAAAATCTCAGGATAAACCGAACTAATGTACCCAAAAAATCAAAACACAACGTACAAAAAATACCTTGTAATTAGGGCACCCCAAAAATGCTTCCCTTGATTCTTTACAGTTTTTGCGACTCTTAATACAACAAGCTCTCCATAGTAGCATATTTGGCTGCCAACCATTCCTCCTGATGAACCACCACGTGAGGTCCCCCATGAGCAAGACAAGCATTGATTCATTGACATTGCCTCCACCAACCACACAATATTGCTTCCTTGACACCTACAAAACCACCTCAATCCCAACCACTCAACTTAGGACACCCACCTCAGAAACAACGAACTTCACAGACTGAGTTAAGACGAACAACTTAGGGCACCCCACCTTAGCTCCAAACCTTCAAATCACCTCCTTCCCCTAAGCTCGTTGGAGATTAAAATGCTGGGCCAAATCTGTATGCATTTGGTTCTTCCAAATAAAAAGGACATTTTCATACCTGGCTAAACCTAAATATGTGCATTTGCCCACGTTGGATAAATAATTTGCCACATCTTTTAACCTTTAACGTTGTTGCTACCACACTAACGGACATGACTTAATTTACACAATTTTCGTAACTTGAAAATTTAATGTCTTTATTTTTAAAACCGGATACTAAATGGAAATTCAACTCTTAACTTGAGGACTAAATAACCAATTAAGGGGGAAAACACATGATTTTTTATTAAGCCTTCTTTTGTGTTTATCTTTTAGTCAACTGTCAGATTTTATTTTATTCGCTTTCTTATAATACAATTTTAATCTTTATTTTAATTTAATTAATTATTAATGTAAAAATATACACACTATTCATATAATTAGATAGGCAATAATATATGTTTTCATATTATTACGTTCAAAAGTGTGTGATCTAGTTTCATGAACTGATATGTTTATTCTGTAATTTTTTGTGAGTCTCTAAATACGATGAGAATTAGCTCGTGTTAAAATGGGTTTTACATATTATTCTATTTAGTTTGATAGTTAGTTTAACTTACAATTTTACATGTCAACTTATATAGTTCAAGAAAAAAACAACAACTTAATTGCTTGTTTTAGCTGAAACTTAAGACAATTTGGCCCTTGAATTATTATTGTCCTTTTTCTTTTAAATATTTTTTAGGTTTAGTTAATTTTTCATGTAACTTTTTTTTAAAATATTAACTTGCATGCTGTGCGAACAACCTGGTATGTTTGTCCATTTATTTGTAGATAAGTTCAATCTTTCTATTTTTTAAACTTGT